GATAGTGTGATCAAAGCATAGAGTTTTATACAGACTTGCGATGAAGCCTGTATTTACAAGAAAGTGAGTGGGAGCACTACAACATTTCTGATAAGTATATGTGAATGACATTGTTGATCGGAAATAATGTAGAATTTTCTAGAAAGCATAAAGGAGTGTTTGAAAGGAGTTTTTTCAAAGAAAGACCTCGATAAAGTTTCTTACATATTGAGCATCAAGATCTATAGAGATAGATCAAGACGCTTGATAAATTTTTTCAATGAGTACAAACCTTGACAAGATTTTGAAGTAGTCCAAAATGGAACAGTCAAAGAAAGAGTCCTTACCTGTGTTACAAGGTGTGAAATTGAGTAAGACTCAAAGCCCGACCACGGCAGAAGATAGAAAGAGAATGAAAGTCATTCCCTATGCCTCAACCATAGGTTCCATAAAGTATGCCATGCTATGTACCAGATATATTGTATACCCTACACTAAGTTTAGCAAGGGAGTACAATAGTGATCTAGGAGTAGATCACTAGACAGCAGTCAAAATTATCCTTAGTGGAATAAGGAAATGTTTCTCGGTTATGGAGGTGACAAAGAGTTCGTCGTAAAGAGTTACATCGATGGAAGCTTTGACACCGATCTAGATGACTCTAAGTCTCGATCTAGAAACATATTGAAAGTGGGAGCAATTAGCTAAAGTAGCTCCGTGCAGAGTATTGTAGACATAGAAATTTGTAAAATACATACGGATCTGAATTTGGCAGACCCGTTGACTAAACTTCTCTCACAAGCAAAACATGATCACACCTTAGTACTCTTTGGGTGTTAATCACATGTCGATGTGAACTAGATTAGTGACTCTAGTAAACCCTTTGAGTGTTGGTCACATGGCGATGTGAACTATGGGTGTTAATCACATGGTGATGTGAACTATTGGTGTTAAATCACATGGCTAGTGCAAGTGGGAGACTGAAGGAAATATACCCTAGAGGCAATAATAAAGTTGTTATTTATATTTCCTTATATCATGATAAATGTTTATTATTCATGCTAGAATTGTATTAACTGGAAAATTAGTACATGTGTGAATATATAGACAAACTAAATGTCACTAGTATGCCTCTACTTGACTAGCTCGTTGATCAAAGATGGTTAAGTTTCCTAGCCATAGACATGAGTTGTCATTTGATAAACGGGGTCACATCATTAGGAGAATGATGTGATTGACTTGACCCATTCCGTTAGCTTAGCACTTGATCGTTTAGTTTACTGCTATTGCTTTCTTCATGACTTATGCATGTTCCTATGACTATGAGATTATGCAACTCCCGAATACCGGAGGAACACTTTGTGTGCTACCAAACATCACAACGTAACTAGGTGATTATAAAGGTGCTCTACAGGTGTCTCCAATGGTACTTGTTGAGTTGGCATAGATCGAGATTAGGATTTGTCACTCTGGGCCCTCTCGGTAATGCACATCACTATAAGCCTTGCAAGCAATGTGACTAATGAGTTAGTTATGGGATGATGCATTACAAAACAAGTAAAGAGAATTGCCGGTAACGAGATTAAACTAGGTATTGAGATACCGACAATTGAATCGCGAGCAAGTAACATACCGATGACAAAGGAAACAAGGTATGTTGTTATGCGGTTCGACCGATAAAGATCTTCGTAGAATATGTAGGAGCCAATATGGGCATCCAGATTCCGCTATTGGTTATTGACCAGAGAAGTGCCTCAGTCATGTCTACATAGTTCTCGAACCCGTAGGGTCCGCACGCTTAAACGTTCGTTGACGATATAGTATTACATGAGTTATGTATGTTGGTGACCGAATGTTGTTCGGAGTTCCGGATAAGATCACGGACATGACGAGGAACTCCGGAATGGTCCGGAGATAAAGTTTGATATATGGGATAATAGTGTTTGGTCTCCGAAAGGGTTCCGGAATTCACCGGAAGGGGTTCCGAATGTTTCCCTAAATTTTTGGGTACGAGAACACTTTATTTGAGCCAAAGGGGAAAGCCCACAAGGTTTTTGGAAAGAGCAAAAGGAAATTTTACGGAGTCCAGGGGTCAGACGCCAGGGTCCCTGGCGTCTGGGTCCAGACGCCAGGGTCCGGGTCCAGACGCCGGGAACCCTGGCGTCTGGCCCTGGAGTCCGAGAAGGACTCTTGCCTTTCGGGTTAAACCGACTTTGTGGAGGCTTTTACTCCAAGTTTTGACCCCAAGGCTCAACATATAAATAGAGGGGTAGGGCTAGCACCTAAGACACGTTAAGAAACACCAAGCCGTGTGCCGGCAACCCCGTCCCCTCTAGTTTATCCTCCGTCATAGTTTTTGTAGTGCTTAGACGAAGCCCTGCGGAAATTGTTCTTCACCAACACCGTCATCACGCCGTCGTGCTGCCCGAACTCATCTACTACTTTGCCCCTCTTACTGGATCAAGAAGGCGAGGACACCATCGAGCTGAACGTGTGCTGAACGTGGAGGTGCCATACGTTCGGTACTTGATCGGGACGGATCGTGAAGGTGTACGACTACATCAACCGCGTTGATAAACGCTTCCGCTTTCGGTCTACGAGGGTACGTAGACATACTCTCCCCTGTCGTTGCTATGCATCACCATGATCTTGCGTGTGCGTAGGATTTTTTTTAAAATTACTACGTTCCCCAACATATGATGCGAGTGTTGATAATAATGGAGACCGGGTCATATTTTTGAAAATTATGTTTTGGGTCATATATTTTCAGATTTTGTTAAAAAATGTTTTCTTAAAGAATCTTGCTTAAACAGGTCGAACTTATGACACTCTATCCCTCAAGTGAGCCGGGCTCCTATTCTAGCGGTCCAGCAACACACACCATTTGCCTAAAAAAAGGAGCACACAAACCCTTCGAGCCAAGCCACCAGCATCATGAACCTATTCGGCGCTGTAGGCATCACCTGTGGGCTTGTTAAGCGCGGCCCAGGAATGTTCGCGAAAAGACCATGACAAAAATTTGCGCCATGGGAAATCGATCTCACACCACACGACCCTGTCGCTGCTTAGCTAAACCACTACACCACCGGAATGCTAGTGAACAAAAGCAACACGAATTGTATTAGAATTAATGCAACCGCGCTATTTATTACTCAACCATTTACTGTACCACTTAGATTTTTAAGTTATTTGAAAACAATTTGGAAAATGTCTATTTTATTTAATGAAAACAGTTCGTTAAATTTCTAAAAATGTTCATGAATTTCATAAAAGTTCATTGATTTTGAAAAAAGTTCTTATTTTTTAAAGAAATACAGTGATGTCATGTGTCTATTTGTCTGAAAAGGTGGGTTGGCCCTTAGGGCAAACAGTAGTGCCAGGTTCCATTGTGACTGTTTGCTGGTGACCTTTGTCCGCTGTAGTACGAATGACTGGCGCATCACATCCAATCTCTCATGTCAATGAGTCAGTTAGAAAATAGCTCCAAATGAATCTGAAATAAGTTCATCGGATTTGAAAAAAAATTCACCGATTTTGAAGAAAAGATCATCAAATTTAAAAAGAGTTCACCGATTTTGAAAAAAATAGTTAACAATTTTGAAAAAAAGTTCATTCAATTTGAAAAAGTTCATCGATTTTCAAAAAAATCATTGGATTTAAAAAAGCTCACCGCTTTTGAAGAAAAGTTCATCGAATTTGAATTTTTTTACTGATTTTGAAATAATAAATCATCAATTTTGAAAAAGGTTCATTCAATTTGAAAAAGGTATCAATTTTGCAAAAAAAATCATCGAATTCGTAAAAAGATCATTATATTTGAAAAGAAAAGTTCATCGGTTTCGAAGAGAAGTTCACGAACTGAAAAACCATGCATTTTAGGAAGAAAAAAAAGAAAAAGGAAAAGAAGTAGAAAAACAAGAAAAAGAATAAAACAAAGTGACAAACAAGTAAATAGGGAAACGAAGAAAGATTCCACGAGGTCGCGAGTTCGATCCCATGCCCGGCAACTTTTTCTGGAATTCATCGAAATACAAGCAGTACAGGATTGCTAACAAAAAGGTAATGGGCCGAGCTCAACTAACGCGCTGCAGGCGCCGGTTTGCAAGAAACAATTGTAACCAGCGTGTGTAGGGCCGAATAAGATTGGCCCCGTGAAATCCCTCAAAAAGAAAAAAAAGATCCCGTGACTCCTTCGTGAATGAAAAAGAAAAAAGCAGGTTCAGGGTTCCATCTGCAGGGTCAGAAACTTTGCCGTAGTCCTCATCCATCCACTATTATAATCGCGCGGACGAGACGACAGGCATCGTACCATTCAGCTCGGTCTCCGATGCACCCCTCGCTTTGACCATCCTAATCAAGCCGTAAAGCGGTAAAATCCCCCACCTGATTCAAACGGCGCCGCGTAAACCCCTCAACCCCCCGTGGTTAAACTCCGTGGCCGAGAGAGGCCAAAAAGTGGTCGGCGACGCGCCGTGTCAGTTCAAGCCCCAAACCCGCCGCCCCCCTAAACCTCCCCTCTCCTCCCCTCACGAGGCGAGAGAGCGTGACGACGAGGCTCACGAGGAGCGGCAGCAGCGGAGTCAGAACCAGCAGGCGGCGCAGCCCCTGCAGCAGACGGCGGTCGAATCGCGGGGGAGAGGTCGCCGGCGTGAGGGAGGTCCGTCCCGGCGACGCCGCGCAGCCGTTTTTCTCTCCGCCGTCCGGCCCGTCGATCTCGTTTCTCAGTCCCCGCTGCTCTCCACCGGCCGATCCCGCGAGCCCAGGCCGCAGATCGTTCCATTCCGCGAGGTATTTCCGGGCGGCGCCGCTGATCCGCTAGGGTTCTTCTAGCGAGGCGCCCCTGTCCTGTTCCTGTCCTGTCCCTTTCGTTTTATTCTCCGGTCCCTGTCGGTCCTTTGACGCACCGGGCGATTCTCGTGCTGCTTGCAGGGGAGGCGAAAGGGAGCGCGGCCTTTGGACCAACCGGGGAAAGGCGAAGTGGGGAGGGAGAATCTTCGGGTTTCGGCTTTAGGAGCTCCCGGCTCATGGATTTCTTCAAGCTCAAGAAGTTCGGCAAGGCCCGGAAGGGCTCCAGGCGTGAGGGAGAGGCCTTGGAGTGCGACGAGGACGCCAACGGAGGGAATGTGGCTTCGGAGGGCGACATCTCCGAGCAGAATCCTGAGGCGGCCGCAGGGGCTGGTGTGGCCAATGGGGGAGGGGCTGGTGTGGCCAATGGAGGAGAGGAGGTTGGTGAGGAAGAGGAGGACGAGGACGACGATTTCATCACCAACGAGGTGAAGCGGCGGCTCAAGGAGATGAGGAAGAACACCTTCATGGTGCTCATCCCGGAGGAGGAGAATGCTGAGGTGGAGGAGGATGAGGACGGGGAAGAGGAAGAGGAAGGGAGTAGCTCCAGGGAGTGGATGGAGTCCGACGTCGGCGAAGGGTTCCCGCTATGTGGCTTCGACTCGCTCTATGATAAGTACTCTCAGAGAATGGTGGCGTTTGATAAGACGATTACACAGATCTTTAAGGATTCAGGTGAAAAATATAGCACATTGTAGTTTCTTGTATGGGTGCTTAGAGTTGTTGCGTGTTGACTTGAATGCCACATTGCCACGCAATGTGTTTTACTTTGTTGCTGCTATCTGACTGACCATATTAGTTTCGAAGCAACATTTCAGTCTTCATTTCCTACATAACGGCACTATTTTATCCACCTAGAAGTGCACACCATCGATTTTGTTTTTTTGGTATATGGTAGGTTCTAAAAATCTACACGGTGAAAAATATAGCACGTTGTAGTCTTTTGTATGGGTGCTTATAGTTTTTGCATGTTGAGTTGAATGCCACACAATGTGTTTTACTTTGCTGCTATCTGGTCTGCCATATTAGTCTCAAAGCAACATTTCAGTTATCCCTCTATTTTTGTCACGCAACTGCATTATTTAGCCCATCCAGAAGTGTGCACCATCGTTTTTTTGGGGGTATATGATAGATGCTATAAATCTACATGGTGACTGAGCATCATATGAGCTGTGATGATCAGCCACAGATAGATTCTTGTGCTAACTGACGGTTATCATTTGGTATGTTGTCATCTTCGACAGATCTATTGTTTGAACAATTTCATGATTTTCACTTTTTGGTGCTGAGTGTGTGCCTCCATAAAACTTTTGTCGTCGTTCTCCACTCCAAAAATTTGTTGCATACTCATAAGTAACTCTTTCAAACGTCGCTAAAGCACATACCGTTTCTTTTCTGCATGTGTTGCTGCTTATCAGATTGTTAGTTGGGACTTGAGGATGACACGTCCCCTTTCTTGCGTAATACGCTTCTCTTATGTGTGTATAAAATCTTATGAAATTAGATGATTTGTTTACTGCTCTCTAGAGTGCAGATAATCTATAAACCACACCTTTCAACTTTCAAATGGTTGATAACAAACTTCTCAGGGTCACTCAACATCTTGACAAGGTCGCCTAAATCAGCACACAAATTGGCATCTGCTATCTGCACTCTATGTGAAATAGCAGACAGAATTAACATCTTCTATCCTTAGAATCCCACACAATGTGTTCTATTTTGTTGCTGCTATCTGGCTGGCCACGTTAGTCTTGAAGTACCATGTCAGTTATTGCTCTTCATTTTTTACATAACTTCATTAATTAGCCCATCCAGTACTGTGCACCATTCTTTTTTTGTTGCTTTACATGATAGATTCTGAAAATCTACATGGTGACTGAGCATCTTACGAGCTTTGATGGTCAACCATATATAGATTCTTATGCTAGCCGACGGTTATCATTTGGTATGACAGCAGTTGTCATCTCCAACAGTTCTATTGTTTGAGCAATTTCATGATTTTCACCTTTTGGTGCCGAGTGTAGGTTGCCTCCATAAAACTTTTGTTGTCTTTCTCCTTGTACTTAAAAAAACATGTCGTGTACACATAACTCTTTGGAATGTCACTAAAGCGTGTACTATTTCTTATCTGCATGTGTTGCTGCTTATGTGATTGTTATTTGGGACTTGAGGAAACTTGAGGGTTGCACCTCCTCTTTCTTGTGTAATATGCTTCTCTTATGCACGTGTGAAATCAAATAAGACAATTTGTTTGCTATTCTGTAAGTGCAGATAATCCACAAACCGTTCCTTTCAACTTTCTAATGGTTGATAAACAAATTTCCCAGGGTCATTCAACATCTCAAAAAAGTCGCCTAGATCAGCATCAAAATTGGCATCAACCTTGCGCAGTCTATCATTCAAAAGGAGGGATGAGCTTCAGGAGGACTGTGAGAATCTTCAGCAGCAGCAGAGCGAGGATGACCCTTACCAAATACTCGAGACTGCTTATGTTGCACAGGTTTCTTTAAGCTGGGAGGCTATTCATTGTACCTACATGCACCTGAGTCTGATACTGGCAGCACAGCCGGAGAATCCCACCACCTATAGCTGTGCTGCTCAAGCATTTCAGCAGTTTCAGGTTCTGTTGCAGAGATTTGTTGAGAATGAACCATTTGAGCAAGGTTCACGTTTTCAGATATATGCACGTTCTCGGAGCTCCTTGTCGAAATTGCTTCAGGTTCCCACTTTTCAAGGTACGACACTTGGATTATAGTTATTGCATTTTTTAACACAAATGTATCCTATCATTTGACAATGAAATTCACTACTGATGCTAGTGCAATCAACTCTTGAGTCCTTGTGGCAACTTATTTGATTTGTTATTTAATCTATTTGCATTGCCACATTGCAACTTGTTGTAATAGCTGTCATTTTTTGCTTGGTCAAGAATCAGTGTCTTATTCTTAGTTCTGATGGATCATACAGTGACAACCAACAAAGCACACTTAGCCTTCTGAGTTCTGAGATATGTAGTGGGCAGTGACAAGCTCTAACAGTCGTAAATACACATCATGATCGACTATGTGCATTACATAATTGTTTGCCATTGGAATACATCACAAGACATAAGTACATTGCAGATTTAGAAGTACTACTGCCTATGTTTACTTGACACAAGGCCTAAACCGTCCATGAGGCAGGGGCCGTGTGACGAAACTAGACGACTGGGATCCGGATCGGGGGTGGGTATGATTGAGGATTCCTTATTGCAGGGGTGGATGTCGCCATAGATACGTCCAAAACCATCGGGATTTGGACTTATAGGGTTCATACTGCACACGGAACTTCCAATATGGGACAACACTAATATCCTTTGAGCCTTCCTTTTCTCAGCCGTCCCTCCAAGATCTAATGCTGCAGGGGCGATCAAAGCTAGCTTCCACTTAAATGCCAAAGTTGACAATCTATAATTTCTAATCTCTGCCCACAATCTCGATTCGATGGCTCTAGTTGCGCCAGTTACCCTCTCCCCTCGTTGCACTTTGTTAGCTCAGTTTGTTTTGTCTCTTTCAAATCTACTTGTAAGGTCCCCCGCCTACCAGCTTTGCAGACTCACCCAATCTCCATACTGGGTCCAGCTTGTTTCATGCTGACTTTGTGCACGTTTTGGAGCCACCGAATGGTCCATGTGAATCTCATAAGGCCATCGACGGGACTCCTGTGAGCTCTGGACTGAGACAAGAGCGAGGTCATTCATTTCACTTTCACCAAGGAGTTTGATAGCTACCCTGACGGCTTGGGAATGAATAGCATTGAAGATACCATATATAGTATGTTGTGACATCATGGCAATTTTACTTGTTTGCTGTATTGGTTTTTATTTTGTCATGTACCTGAAAGATGAACTCTGTTTTTACCGATACATCTTATATCAAATTGTTTTTTTTTCTTAGTGATCTAAATGATCTTATATTTCTTTACAAAGGGAGTACGTTAGTAAGTACATTCTATCTGATTATGTAGGCTGGTATTGCCCTTTCATACATGAACGTGGTACTAAGATGTAACAGAAAGATGTATTTTGAAAATACCGGCAGTGAATGCACACAATGGTTTGTGGATACATTGGGTATGAGTAAGTAAACTAAGACGGAGAACAACTCAGATGTCCAATATGATCTAACACTGTTCTGATGTGCATTTGTTGGTATAGTCGGTACTAGAGTAACAGCTTGGATGTTTCAGTGAATAGGTCATATCTTAAATGTCACTTACGGTGAAAGCATGCCTAATAGTTTCGGTTTCAAATGCCACTTATTTTCAAATAAGAAGGTGCATATGGCATTGTTTTTAAGGCATCCCGCTTTGGACGCTTAGGCAACACCATAGAATTTTAACCACCTTAGGCGCTTAGGCATCAAGGTGGTCAGTGCTTGCCTTGGGACACCTTACCACCATAAGAATATTGGTATATGGTTATAATTGTTTCCTAGCACTTCCTCTAGCCCAAATGGATGCAGTTTGGGGTTTCGTTCAGTCAAAATTTGGTTCCCAATATCTGTTCAACTGTTTAGTTTGGATACATGAATAACATACACTGTCATTTGGTATTGTTTGCGACAGGCGTAAATTCGGTCTTGAGAAGTAACTCTAAAATTTCGTTTGTTATAAATATAGTACAGTGGAATTTACTGGTCAAAGATCACTTTGGGAGCCATGTTGATATCCAGGAAGTTGTATCTGAAAAAATGGCGTGATAAAGCTCATGCTTGTACGAGACAATGTGGGTAGCGAGATAATTCTCATATTGTTGTGAGGCTGCATGATTCCTACTGTTGATAATTGCTATGTGTATGCTGTTCTATACATGGAAATATGTCCCCCATAAGTACAAGCTAATTTGCAACAGCTTCAGTTATTCTTACTTCCCTACAGTCTTAATCATGGTGGAAATTGTTAAGCTTTACTATGTTGTAGGGGAATGGTTGGTAGATCTCAGACATCTTGTTTATACTTATACACACATGGATTGTATTTGTCATATCAAATGAGATCATACTGGGTCCCTTTGCGTTATTTTGAGTGTGGTTCTCTTTGGCCACTACTAGGTGAATAGGACAGTAAGTAGATTATCATTGAATGGCGTACACATAATGCACATGCTACAAGCCAATTAAATCTTCTGTACACTGGCACCATTAATGGTTGATAATGTACGGTTGGTGAATCTGGGTTCTTTTCTGTTTCGCATTCATCTGTGGCCAGTCAGTTTTGTAACATCATTCAATAACTTGGATGATGGAAACACTTGAACCCTAAGAGCCACATGTTGCCTACTTTTAAGATCCATATATATGCTCAGCGTATGACTAAGTGGCCAAGAGAAGTTTAGGAGCTGTACCTGCAAATTTAAGATTTGTCAATTGCCATGCCCATGAACTTCCTCATTGATTGCATATAAATTCCAAGAATTTTGTCAGTCTGGACTGGCTGCAGGACTTGGTTAAAAGTTCTATTAAGTAGATGCTGCAGCTAATGTGTTAGTTGGAACAAAGTATTTTACTTCCATATAATGCTTTTGCTAAATGAGCGATAGATTCTTACTGATGTAATGTGCTTATGTGCAATGTGTGTAAAATCCCGTAGCAAAATCCTTTGATCTGATTTTAATTTGATCATCCAGTAAGGCAAGTCCTGAGTGCAATACTCTTAATGTTTCTATTTTTGCTGCATCGTAGTTCCGTTTCCTTGATATGGAGAAGTAAGCTTTTGTCTGTTATGTTGTGCTTATATTTTAGAGCTATTTTTTCTATCTTTGCATCCTGACTGTCACAGTACCCTCCTACCACTGCTTGTATAACATACTTTTGGCATCTCTCTGTACACTTGCTGCTATACGCATTTTGATATGTCATCGCTTTTTGTTCCTTTTTTGTCTATTCAGTTGCAGACGGGAAAGATAATGCTGAAGACCAGACGGAACCAATCTTGGCACCTGACCTCATGAAATTATTAGAGGAGTGTATCTTAACTTTTCGTGTTTTCCTGAAGAAGGACAAGAAAAAGAGCAGTGTCCTCATGGGCGTTCATGGCCATACTGGAAGTTCGATTCAGCAAGTTCAATCCTCTCTGGATAAGGTTAGACTTAATAACTCTTAGGGTTTAAAAATCAGTTCAGTTTATTACCGGGTATTTTTTCAGTTCCTTGTCTCTACCTTTCATTGTGTTGGTTAAATATATGATCTCTTTGTTGAATGATAATACTATTAAAATCCACCTATCAGTAGAATGCATTTTTCCTAACGCACCTGTGACGTTCATTGAATATGAAATGAACTTTTGAAGCATATCCTTGCGGGTATGGTAGTTGCTGTCAGCATATGGGCAGTTGAAGCGTTCACGTGATACTGTTTTTTCCTTTCTAATGCGTATATATATATCTCCAAATCCGCAGAAGGAGATGAAGGTGAAAGAGCTGTTCAAGAAGAAAAAGGGATGGAAGAGCAAGACCTGGCCGACCACAATGGAGGAAGTGCAGCTGCTGTTTGCCCTGACGGACATCAAAGTGGTGTCGAGGGTGCTGAGAATGGCCAAGCTGAGCAAGGAGCAGCTGCTGTGGTGCGAGGAGAAGATGAGCAAGCTGGACCTCTCCGACAACAAGCTGCGGCGGGATGGATGCCCTATCCTCTTCCCCTGCTGACGCATTTCCTTTGGCAGACATATGCTAGTTAGTGTTCGTTCGTTTGGCCCCTTCGCAGAGCAAGCGAGCATGTCTGCTTCCTGGGCCGATATATGTACATCTTAGGCTGGAATGTTTATACTAAAGTCAAGTGTAGTACCCTAGCACCTAAAAAGAGATTGGTGTTCCATTCCAATCCAGTTGTGTTGCTCTGCATTAGTTTGGGGGTTTTATGCAGCATGGCAACAGCCTATGGAAACCAGCTGGTAAATTCAGAAATAAACATCTGGTAAATTCCGGACACCGTTGCAAGCTGTGAACGGAAAAAAATTCAGCTGCATATGCAGGTATTGGCACATGAAGAAGGCTTGTCTCATGTTGGGGCTTGGGACCAGAGCTGTGCTGGACCCCCGCAAGCCAGTTTCTCAGCTGAATGGTGGGCCTCCTTTGCAAGCGAAGCTAAAATGTGCCGCGCATCATCACAGCCAGAACCAGCATCAGCCAAAGCTCATGAAGGCAGCAAATGGCTACCACCAAATTCCTGCTGCCACGGCCTTCAATGGTGGGGGTCATCAATGCGGCTGTGTGTGTGTGCCTGGCTGCACTGCATGCATGCAGGCAGTGTAAGCAAACTGATCCTTCACTGTGCCCTGCGATTCATGTGCCATAAAACTTCACTGTGCGTGCAGATTCACATCTCTCTCTCTCTCTCTCTCTCTCTCTCCCTCCATGGACCACATTGACATTGACACTGTCACACTAGCATTACTCTTTACCTGCCGATCCCATTTGGAAACTTTGTTGAGACTTTCCTCGAGAGCCGCATCTGACGGCGATGGCATCTTCCAACAGTAGCCTTAATGGAATTCCTCGGTGTAATGCAGGGCTTGCCATGTACTCCCACGTACCAACTGGACGCAACAGGTCATGTGATGAAGGCAGGAGTAGCCATTCTTCAGTGCTGAGTGCTGACTGACAGAAAGAGTAGGGACACTTTACTAGTTCGATCCTTTCTTATAGTACTAGTTGCTCTACAGTTTTCACCAGTGACAGAGCAGCAAACACAGTTTCTATTCTCCTCAGAGGGAAGGAAGCAATGCAGGCGGTTTGATTTCATAAAACGACCGTTTTGGTAGGTAACATGCATGAGAAAAAAGGAGTAAACCAAATACAGGACATGGAGTGGAGAAGTACAGATGAACTCATTTTGGATCGTAGTCCTTGTAGCCATGCCACGGGCAGCCGTACCTGAAGCCTTGGACTTCCTGGCTGGCTGGCTGGCAGTGAGTGACTTGTGCGTGCACCAGTCAGTCCAGCTTGCAGTCCAACTAGGCCAGTACGACACACACAGATACAGTGTGCAACAGTACACGCAGTATAACATGAGCAGCAGATCTACTCTACTCGCCGGAGGCACAGTGCCAACACAAGGCCATCATAAACCCGTGCAGGTGCGAGCCCTGGTCTCACTGATGGGGGGAGTAGAAAATAGTCTACCGTCAGCTTTTCTCTTCTGCAGGGTTTTCTTGATCATTTACCCCAGCCGATCTCACAAAAAATGCATGCCCAGTCCAGCCCAGTACAGTACTGCACCCACTGGTAAACTGCATTTTCAACGCGAAAGCCGCTGTTAGGGGAAAAGGCGAGCGAGCCCGATCCAATGGATGGCAAATTGACCGGCGGGCCGAGGAGGCTACAGCAGGGGCGCATGTGTGCGGATTGGACACTGCACTGCCGGGTGGAGTTTAGTACTACCACTCCTACTAGTTGCCCTCGCAGATAATTCCAGTCTTTCTTTTCCTCTTTTTATATTTCAACTGTGATGGATTGGCCCACGTTGCACTGATGGAAAGAGCAGGCTGAGATTCTTGCTGCGTCCTCGGGGCTGGGCATTTGATTAAGGGTTGGTTCTGCCCTGTTGTGCTGTGGATCTAGCGGCAGTAAATCGATTAGTTAACTAGATGGGAGGACACATTTGGCCATGTTTCTGGCAATCATGTCTTCTTGTTCGGGCGATCCACGCGACTTTGGGGAAAGCTTGCTGTGGCTTGTTGCGCTTGTCATTTCTCAGCTTCTACTCTAAACTGGCCAGAGTGATCTAGCCAAGTGCTGGTGTGAGATGAAGAACTGTTATATTGTCTTATTTGTTCTCTTTTCTTTTCAAGCAAGAAATGGGCACAAACATATTAAAATAAAAGGTTCTCATGCCAGGTAAAGACCTTGTTTGTCTGGCTTAGCATGCACGTTTTGTGGCATTTCCATGTATAGCGGCGTCTCTTCAGTTAATAACCACCTAAAAATTCCAGCTTCAGAGTTATTAGACGGACAGTTCTGAAAGACTATATTTGTTCTGTTTCTTGCGTTCTCAATTTGCGCTGGGATGATCTATATATTACTACTATCTGAAGACGCATGGCCATTCATCTGCATGCACAGTTCTGTAATGATCATGGGAGATAATAATAACTGATCGGAAAGGCTGTCTTTGAGTGAGAAAACCGGGTGAAAAGTAAGGCCATCTTTCAGCCAGCAGCATTTTCATCTTGCCAAGTTTCCTTTTGGGAAAAAGATTATAGTAAAAGACAAATAAGGATCACAGTTTGCTTGTCGACCTATGGGCAGGGGCATGGGTTTTGGACGAACGGGCAGGCACCAATCTAAAAGCATGCTAGGGCAAGATAAAGGCTCGGAAGGAGCGAGGACATGCGGAGGAATCTTTCACCTCTTTTGCTTTTCTTGGTTGCTCTTCTGCGACAGGCATGCAGATGCATGCTAACAAACCGTGCTTTATCTTTTTTGAAAATTCCCATGCACGCTCTTCTCCTTCTCCATCTCCGTCCCCGTCCATACGATGGAAGAGACTTTCCAAGCCGGTTTGGGGGTTGAAAAAAGAGAGGAAATGTTCTTCTTTGGCAGAAGAAATATCATGTGTCGTGTCATGTCGCAAGCGTTCCGGCTGAGAAAACAAACTTCGTTTTTAACCATGAGTGCACGTACGGAACCTTCTTGTCGTCGCCGTCGCCCTGATAAGCTGATACCGTGTACGTGGAGAGGGCGTGATATTCTTTTCTTACTTTCGGTGTTATTGCTACAAAGCATAGTTAGATAGATGCACCGTGGTGTAGTAGATGGTAGAACAACGAACACATGGACTAGAAGATTATTATTCCTTTATATGCTGAAAAAAAAATACTGGTGCAAGCCAAGCCACCAGTTAGTGCATGGGCATAAACGAACCTTCATCTGAAATTGAGTAAGCCACAAAAGAAAGATGGGCATCCTATTCTATTCTCTTGGGTCGGTCTTGCTTTTCCACCGTAATTTAATTTATTTTTTCCAAGGCCAAAATTGCGTGTGGGGTACTTACGCATGCGTATGCATGCATGGCTGCCAGGTGGCACATGCAGTGCTACTACTCCCTGGTCAGAATAATCCATTAATTACTTTATTTTCTTTCCCTGGTCAGAATAATCCATTGACGTGCAGGAGGAGATGATCAGGCCGGTTTCTTTTGGTTTGCACTTCGAAGTGTTTGTTAGAGCTTTACAGCATCTACAGCTGGGCGCCCGCAAACCCGTTTTACATGTTTTACACATTTGGAAGGGCCGTCGGGTCATCGATCGGTCATGATTTTTTCATCCAGATAAGTTCTTTAAATGAGCATCAAACGTTCGGACTGACCGGCACCTCTCATATCTAGTCTAAATATTGGGCGGATATGGACCGTCCGGGCCTACCCGTCGCGTCGGATCCGACAGCTTGACTCCACCGCAAATTGCATCAAATCCATCAAACCCTTTCTCCTCCTCCAACCGCCCTCCAACCTTTCCCGCGCTCGGAGCCTCGTCGTCCTTCACCCTTGCTCCCAATCCTCACCACCGGTCCCGGTCCATCGTCGGAGATGTCGTCCAAGCTGTCCAGCCCGACCCAGACAGCCGCGACGGAGACACGGTCCGCCTCGTCCGTCGGCGGGGTCCCTTTGTCAGCTATGACTTGCAAGGCGGAGAACGTTGCCCGAAAGTTGCGACGACGCCGAAACGAGAGACGGAGGCAGCGACGCAGGGAGGTTCGGACATGGTGGAGCAGCTGTCTCCCCCGCCGCGCCCGTATCCCCAACCCCTTCCATCCGAGCGCCGACGCAGATTATGCCTTCCGCCCCCATTGGGACAGAGGAGGATTCGATGGCCCACTGGCCCACCCCGAAGAGCTTTCCGCCCACGCAGATGCCGCTGGTCGACGTATGTGACGCGCCGCAGCTCGTTTGGGCGCAGATGAGCACGGGCACCAGCAGCTCCAACCATGAACCAATCAATTTGGTTGGACGATGAAATGACGATGTTGTCGTGACGAATGAAAAAGCCAACGTGCCAAAGGATAACTGCCAAGTCATGGGAAACAAGTGAGAGAAGGCACGTGCCTCCCATAACGTCGCGGCTACAAAAATGTCGTCCACATGGTTGGGCATTTTTTTGGCGAGGAAGAACAAGGAGGAGAGGTACAAACTCATGTTGGGTGCGCAAAAGGAAAGAATGGAGTGGGACCGAAATAGGGCGGAGAAGAAACTCAATATTGAAAGGGAGAAGATCGAGTTGGAGAAGCAACACGCGGCATCAAATGGGAACTCGAGAAGGCCAAGACATTTGGTGACATAGAGCTTAAGAAGGAGAGGTTGCAACTTGCAGGAGACGCGGAGGATGCGAGAATTATGTTGGCGGACGAAACCCTCTTGGATGAGCATACGAAGGAGTGGCTTGCGGACAAGAAGGAGATCAACGAACATAGAGAGTACGAGGCAGCGAGGGCGGCTGAGGCACGGATGTAGGCGGAGTAGACGAGCAGGACGCATTCCGCCTTCAGCACGACACATTCCGCTCGGAGCAGACTCTCGCCCAGTGATTCGAGGCCATCCGTCACGGATATTGATTTCATTTTGACATGTCCGCTTTGTTGAACTACAAATTTGCTTTGTTTTAAACTTTTGAATTCGAACAATTTGTATCGCATGATCGACGTGCGAGGATCGGAATTTGAGGTATATGGATGTGCGATGCAACATACGAGGGGCCGGCGGACGCACCCACATGCATATAGGGGGCGGATTTGTTGAGTCCGGTTGTAGATGCTCTTAGATGGCGTTTGTGAGTTTTCTCAAAAAAAAAAGATGGCGCTTGTGAGTTTTTTTTTGTTTTGTTGGCACAACCACAACTGAATCCTCGGCTGGTTAGCTAGGGAACGTGAGAAGCGTGAGGCGTGCAGAGCGGCATGCATGCATGAACCGACTTGACCACCATATACTACTACACTAATACTTAAGCGAGAAGCTTCGTTTGTTTGGCATGAACCAAAACATGGTACTGAGGGGAAAAAACATGGTACTCTTTGATTCGCAAGAATTTAATTTGCATGAATCATAGAGCTCTTTGATTCCCAAGAATTTAATTTGCATGAATCATAGAACTTTTCGATTCGCAAGAATTTAATTTGCATGAATACAGAACTCTTCGATTTGCAGGAATTTAATTTGCATGCCCGACCCAATTTCCTACACCCATGACACCAAATCTCCCACTAATGCATTGAATTGAAGCCTGGAGATATCGCAGGGGTATCCGGATACCCCCACTCCCTCGCAAGGATCCAAAACCCATCGTCACGGTCATACTTCAGTTCCTAATTTGCGTAGCGCCACAGGTGCTGTCGCATTGCATGCCTCCAAACGCCATGAGTTTTCGCACTCGTCACAAGTTTTCAGTAAAAAAAAACACCCCCGACCCCCACCCCCCTCTCTCTGTAACAAGTAACAAAAATGTGAAAATTCCTGCGCGAGAAAAGACAGTTCTCCGAGCCGGAAGTTTCCTCAAGTGCACAAACCAACCTACTGAGCCCGAATTTTTCCATAAAATGGCAGAGAATAAATGAGCAGTAGGGCTAAAAAAAGAGGAAAATGAATGAGTAGGGAATTATTGGGAAATAACAGCAAGCGTAGGGTCATACCCCAATTCATCCACCCGCCGCCCCCGCTTTT